AGGACTCCATTAATCAGAACAACCATCTTGACAGAGTGATCTGGATAAAGTCTGCGGAGTTCGAAGAGAAAATTTCGTTTCTCCCCCTCTTTTCTGACGATATTTGTCTCGCCAGGAGCTGAAAACTCCACGGCAAATATCGTTTTGCTCTGGTGGTCGAGAAGGACTACATCAGGCTTATTAGCTTGTATGAGCCTGAGGGTAGGGAATGTATTTTTCAACAAGAATTATTATTATGAACATTTCAACGTTGGCTTCAGAATTCTGGTTGGAGAAGAAAAAACTATGATGATAGCTATTTAACTGTAAGAAAGTATATAGAAACTAAGGGAGGTGTGGCGACTCCGTATACATGGCTATCCAAATTCGAGTATGTGCATGGGGATCTCGTAGACAGGTGAGTCTTAGGTTGAATTGTAATAAAGTAGCCTATTCCTCGGTACTATTGAACGATACGAGAAGAAGCGACCATAACTGTTTCATTCCGAAGATATGCCGGAAAAACCGTGAATTACAAATTTGGCTGTACCTTCTTTGTTCGTAGAAATACTGAAAATGTTTATTGATCAGCCATCAGAATATTTTCCTAGAATTCCCATAAGGGGTGTCTATCATCTGACTTGGGTCATCCTCAACTTTGGAATTTTCAATACGGACCTGAAACATTGAATACGGACCTGTATTTTTATAGCAAATTGTTTAATCAACAATGTTCATGAAAGATCAAGAAATTAAATTGGTTACGATACTCCTCAAAGTTTAGGTAATTTGATTTCATTGAAGTATATTTCTTTATTGCAGCTCTGATGATCGAAGCAATACATACTCTATGAGCTGATTATCAGAAACAACTTTAGCAATTCACTCTCATTCAAATAAATAAGACACGGAGATGTCTTTGTAGATGTGTTTGTATCACAAATCTCTAATATTGCCATTGAGCTTTTCCAGATTATACAACCTTCAACATTTTAGGAAATACTTTCAACTTTTATATTTCACCCAATTTCACTTTTCGTTTTGTTTAATAGACATTCTAGGCTCTTACCTCTGAGGGGATCAATCAGTTATAAAAATACAAATTGTTTAAGAAAAATTAGATGATATTGATTTAATCTATAAATAAGTTTATTTCTTCTAATTCAAAACTTGTAAGAATTTCCTTCGATAAGTTGCATATTCCATACCAATAATAAAAATTCCGACACATTCTACGCTACGAAGATACTGGATGAATAAGATCATGCATTAATTTTTTCTGGTTCTTTTATTTTGACGAATTTTCCGAATGATACTCAAAATTCCTAAGAAACTTCGTATTTGTTTTAAATTAAAGGTATATCCAGTCACACGCCGAAGTCAACTCTAGGTCAGTTTTGATACAGGTCCGTATTTAAAAGTTATGGGTAACCCCAAATCTAATAGCTAATTGAAACTTTTGTCACAGAGTTTAGATATATTTTCGATATTTCTGCGAAAAAAGATACAAAAGATACAAAAAAAAATTTGGAATCTTTCGGTTTTATTCGTATATCTTCAGAACCAGAAGTGCCAGAGTTATTTTTTTGGTATCGATCAACATTATCCAAAAAAGTCAACTTTGCCACTATTTCAAAAACTCATTATCTCTTACCATTTATGAAATCCCCATGCATAGACTCAAAATTGAATATCCCTGTATATAAAAAAACGAAAATACGAGATTATGAAAATCTCACAAATTATTGAGCAACTTTGGATAAAATTATTGATGAACAAAAATGAAACAATTATATTCTGCGTAACCAGAAAATAATGATATATATTACTACAGTTTTTTAATGGACGATACAAATTATCAGATTGAATTAAAACACCTACAAGAATAGGAAGAAATATGACTACAATAATTGACATAATTCTTGTGTTAAATAATGAACTGGTTACGAGTAAAAGCTCTGGTATGCAGAATTGTGATTTTGCTGACCATAATGGAATTTACGTGAAACTATAAATAACTGAAACATAAATTTGAAAACTAGAAATGTAAATGACTCGCAAGGAGATACAGAAAAAAAAATCTGAAACAAATCTGTCACAAAAAATTATTGATATTTTATCGAAATCATCAAACTAAACTATATGAAATTTATTAATCTACATACAACTGAGAACATTTGAAGTAAATTTGATAGTTTGTACTGGAACCTCTGTCGTAAAATGAATCTATTGAAAACACTTTCCCAACACCAGAACAAAATTACGCGTTTCGCTAACCAAGTTAGCGTCCTCAGTAGATATACAAGAAGTAAAGATTATTATAAATATTAGTAACAAGAAAATAATTACAATATATAATGAATGCTCTTCATAAACTTAATATGTTATAGATAGTGTTCCTAAAAATTGTGAAGATTTTCAATGAGAATGTTAAAAAAAATGCATCTGACTTTCATTTAGTAGACTAAGAAACTTCAGAAGAAGAACTGAATCATGTCAAATCTATTGCTAAAGGTTCAAACTATTAATGCATGGAAATGGTTCAAACATGTTATTCAATTAAGAAGTATCATTTACTGCATATCGTAAATAACTGTTTACTGCAAATGTATTTCCCTACGGAATGGAAAAATTGTATTGGTATCGCCGATGCCAAAGAAACCAGAATTGGATTATTTGTCAATGATGACTGACCAAATTAAAACATATTTCAAGAAGAATAATCTAAAACAATAAAGAACATAGGATTTCATTAGGTGGATTCCTTCTATGGGGAAAGGATACCTTATCTAACATGAGACTTTTGTCGTTTCCAACAGACCCTGCAGGTGTCCGAGCTTTCTCTAAGTGTAGCATATATTCCTGGAAAGTACAGTTTTCCCACTCGACTCGTTTTATTTAGGGATGGTTCGTATGAGTTCGTTGACTTCCCCTTCAATAGTAAATTTTTGGATAAAGTTACCTCCTCCATTCTCCTTCATTATTCTAGAAGGAATTTTCGCAGCCTCAACTATTAATAGTTTTTTTTTGTTAGACGTCGCCCTAATCTCAATTCGTCTCCAATTTGTTTAAAACAATGTTTGGGGGCTCAACATTGGGTCAAATTTATTAATCTTTTGATATCTGACCCATGTCTCTTGCAATTGTTATGGTGTTCTGATTTGGTTTTGGTATACTTGCTTTGAGACTATATCACTTTAAGAGCTTCCAAGTTACTTTGATAATCACTCTGAGCATTCTCCGGTATGTGAGATGATGAAGTGTTTTCAGTACCTGATTTCGCAGTTCTATAGCTAGGACAGTTGCTTGTTCCTCTTTGTTCCAGCCGTTGGCATTGCTGCTTCAAATTGTCTACGTAACGTAGCCCATGGTGATTGTTCATCAAAAGTTGAAGTTTTCAGAATGTCACCTATTGATGGACTTGTCGGTATCGGCAGAGTTGTCTTCGTCCTCCTATATTAACGAAGTTCCTGTTCGTCCAGTTTCTTGTTCACTTCTTCCATGGCCCGTTCGTATTATCCAACTCGTTTTAAACCTGTTTTACAGTGCTCGACGTTGACAGTGATGGCCTGGCCAACGTCATTTTCAAAGAAATATGAACTGATGACGCCGTCAGCCTAAAATCTACACCAAACAGTGACTTTTTCGGGATGCATTGTACGCTCTTGGATCTGATGTGGATTAGTATCGTCCCAAATCCATTCATCCAGAAATGGACCTCATCGCTATAGATGATTTGTTGATAAAAATTAGAGTCGGTTACAAACTACTACAGAGCACATTCAGCGAACACATTTCGTTGTCTATGATCGTTTACCTTCAGTTTCTGGGTCAGTTGAATTTTGTACGGGTGTATGCCTAAGTCACGACGCAAAATTCGCCAAAATCGACTGCCTCGGATTCTCCTGCACACTCTCATAGACAGCGGCGATGTTTTCGGCAGATCTTGCGTTTGGTCGATCGTCCTACTCTCGGTAGGACAATTATAACGACCGTAAAATCGGCGAAGTGCGCGATACGTTGCCCGAACAGAACACCCATTTTGATAAAATAACCTCATTATTTGCACGAATTGTTGAATGGTTTATCGTGATTTGACAAAACAGACTGAATAAATAATTTTGACAGATGTAGCTTCAACAAGATGGCCGTCATCAATAGTAAAAGTTCGGAAGTCCCAGTTCAAGAATGTGAGTATAGGTGTCAGCTTGAAATCAAGGCTATTTAACAGATATCTACTCTGTGTCGTTGACATAGCTGGCTTGAGGATGTTGCGTCATTAAGATGAAAATTTTGCACTTCGAACATCCGACAACCTGAATATCGACAAATCAAGTGAAATCTCCAGGATGCCATTATAGTTGCCGTAGAGAATTTTTCAGAAGATGGTCCACAGGTACGATTCCAGAGCTGCACAGTCGGCTTGGATGGTTAAAGGTTACCGGAGATCAGGAGAGCGTCTCCTGAATGGTGGGTGCAGCTTAAAACATACAGCCATGGGAGCATATCTTCCTGAAATGCGCCACACTTTCCAAGTCACACATTTATGTTGTTTACCACCTGACCAAAGTTGTCGCAGACTTACCGCCGATCAGTTCTTCACACGGTTGAGATAAAGGTGCCAAGGTATGTCAACCTTGGAATGGATTATTCTTTCCAAGGAAATTCAGGTCGTGGTAATCAGAGCCTGCCCCGCTGCAGGGTGGATCTGATTTTCCGTGTTTGGCAGGTTCCCACTCTTGCCAGGTAATCTGAAAGATATCTCATCAAATAACGTAATCTTTTTCGTTAAGAAGCTGTGTTTATTTAGTCGAGTTCAAATAAGTGTGAGCCATAATAAACCCCACCGGTCAAATAGGCTGTAGCAGATCGAAACAGTGAGGTCTAGTATTGGATCATGATTAAAAACCTCCTGGTGTCTGGGATGAATTTATAACCCATATTGAGACCACTCTGTACATATCCTTTTTTCAACTAGTACACATGAAAAAAAACTGAACAAAAAAAGTTTCTACATTTTGTCGTTTCAACACATAAAATATTTCCAATAGGCTATGGAACGTTGTTTGCAAGAACTGATAATTTTACGAGTTTATTTAGAATAATGCATTGCAATGAAATTTGGTAAATAATCCACTCAAAATATTAATCATGCTCTGAAATATAACAATTATTTTTAGTGATGGTGCTCAATCATTTCCACAAAATACTAACAAAAAGTCAAAAGTGAAATTGTCCAAACTTCAGCGGAGTATTCAACAGGTTTTCATATTTTCTGAAAATGATTTGAAAATCTTTGAATCCCATGTAGATACAATAGTTGAACAAGGAAGAAATGGAGTTCTCAAAGAATTTACTGTGGATCATACCCTACTGAGACAAAAGTAAAGATATGACGTAGAATAGACACCCTCAGGGTTCGTATATAGGGGGAGTTACGAAATTTCTAAGATTTTGGGCGTCACGTTTGTGATATCATTGGAGGGAAAATAACTCAAAATTTGAACTGGTATGCAATCAATTTTTCTATTCAAAACGCTTATAATTCTGCAGAGGTGTGAGATAAAGTATGATAAACTAGAGGTAAAAGCTGAAAGTAGTCGAAAAAACTTCAGTATTCATTACCCTTGATTCACCTCTTCGATCTTGAATTGACTACAAACATTGCAGAAACATTCCATCTGTAAACTGAATCTATATTCATGCTTCATATATTTATTAAAGTGAAAACATATTTACATCACATAATGAAAAATAAATTGATACAATAAAAAAAACATTAAAATGTCCTAGTTCACAGCCAGATTTGAAATTTTCCTTAAATGTTACCAGAATATGATTTGATTTCATTTTGAAGTGCTTTTATATGCATTTTAAGTTCAACAGAATATAAATCACCTAGCTCATTTCCAATAGTTGTTATATCTGTATACAAATTATTTATAGAACAAGTGTTACATTTGTAAGTATTGAAAGCTTTCAATTATAACACATAGTTATTTCAATTGTTTGTTGTAAGTTTTTTGTTTAAATGTTAATAAACAAAGTGAAAATAAATAGTTAATTGGTAATTTTACCAAGTTCAAAAATACTTGTTTCAGAAAAAAACTAAATTTATTTTATCTTTCTTCTAAATTATTTTTCTATTGAATAAGTAATTACGAAGGCGTAGAAGGGCTAAATATTTTTATTGAATAAAAATAACTACATTCCGAGTTGAAGCTGGAATTTTGATAAAATTCCTATATTATAGGACCAGCAGTCCGATTTTTCCTGATCACCTACAAAAAAAATTACACCAGGCATTTACAAACAAAATTCAAATAATTTATCATTAGTTATCATTTGGGAACAATATATAGAGGTTGCTCCTTGAAATTTGGCTCAGAACTATAACCAGGATGAACGCACTATTGAATCCATGTTTGCATCATTGAGTAATCCTACACTGAGAAAAAAAAATAACTGAGGCACGGTTCACTTACCACAAATAAAAAAAATCTGTCACTCAACTAGTCCTTCTGCTTGTAGAAAATTATAATACACACATATTCTTTGTTCTTTAACTCCTCAATTTCAAAGTTAAAAAATCATTTTAATGAACAAGATATATTAAATATTGAGCTTTATCATAAAAATGGGAAGCAATCAAATTCACTTGCCTTTCATTAATATTTCTGTGCAATTTTCCAATATGCATAATGTAATGAATCTTTTAACGTGCGATTCCTAGCACGGTAAAACATAATAGCCTTGGTGGAAGGCTTTTATTATGGTCAAAATAAACTAAAATGATTTCAGATACCCATAAATTTGACACTAAATAATATGAATTATATATTATTGGGTGCTTGCATCTCCCTATAGTCGTGGGCCTGAAATATATATATAAATAGACATTCTTGTGAATGCTGAATGAAATACACGCATTGGTGCTACACATCAGTATTTGAATCATAAAAAACTACCTTCAAACTCTCAAATAGGTATATAATATAAAAAAGTATACATATTTCATTTTGCTCAGTTTAGGTTTTCCACCCAGTATTTATTTCATGAACAAGTCGGATTGTTTTGGGTATCGTGAAAGAAATAATAAGTTTTGGACGTGTAGGTATAGTTTCATTCACTTACCAAGCTCAAATAACCAATAACAACGGCCTGAAATCGTCTTCTGCGACGTGACACACTGATTTATTAAATGTAATCAAAAACACACTTCAAGGTGAAATTTCCACTTGAAAGTTTACAGAATCGCGACACGTGTTTCGCTATTATACATATAGTATTATACGTTTATTATATGTATTATATTATATGTATAGCATCCTCGGGCGTCACAATATGCAAGGATGCCCAAAGATACTATCGTATAACATCGTGTCGTGATTTTGTAAACTTTCAAGTGAAAATCCCACATTAAAGCGTGTTTTTTGAATACGTTAAATTTTGTTTTGAGAATAAACACAAGCACTACAGGAAAATCCTTAAAGCGCTCTTAGAGCGGTGCCTGTGCGAAAGTAGTGTTTCACATTAGATTTGAATCGCTGGAGATTAAATCCATTTGGAAAAACGTTCTCAGGAAGTTTATTCCACATAAACGTTCTTGGGAGTTCTTAAAAAGTGAAATTCAAGGTGTACTGAGTTGATCCTCAAAACGATGAGTAGCCACAGTGCGTCGCGTTATTTCCGATATTTACCGCTCTTGTTGGAATCAAAAGTGCCAAGTCACTTGAACACCTCCCGTGAAAGTATCTATAGAAGAGAGAAAAATCTCCAACATTTCTTCGATGTTCCAGACAATCGAGGTTGCAAGTGCTGTCTCCAATCAGGCGGATAGCTCTTTTCTGGATGGAATCCAGCAAATTCAGGGTATGTTTGGGGGCGGAGCTCCATACATGCGAACAATACTTCAAAGAAGGTCTGATCTGAGCTTTATAAAGCATCAAAACTTGCTGAGATGTGTATAGTTTTCTGGTTTAAAACAGTGTTCCAAGCTTTTGAGAAGCAGCCTTTGCAATTCCAGCGACATGATTGTGCAAAGATATATTGGTGTTCATTTTAACCCCCAACAAACTTATCAAAGCAGAAAGCGGAATTGTCTGACCTGACATTATTATATCCAGTTCGTAAACATTTATTTTTTTGGAAAAAATCGATGCCTGGGTTTTTGTGGCATTGAATTGAACTTGGTTGATTTCACCCTAATTCCAAATTCCTTCTAGATCCTTGTTAAGATATTCAACCTCCTGCTGCCGATGAAGATGTGCATCCGCAGCCGATGTCCTGGAATCTAATTGTAATGACGAGACGAGTGTGCTGTCGTCAGCGAAACAATATAATGGATTCTTGGTGTTTTTCAATAAGTCGTTGATATACAATAAAAAGTGGGTTGGAGAAAATATGGTTCCTGGGGAACACCAGCGTTGATGTTGGAAGTATTCGAGAGATATCCATCGTCGGTCACTTGCAGGGAACGTTCTTAAAGGAAGCTGAAGAGCCATACACAAAAGTGATCCGGAAAGCCATAGCATCGAAGTTTGACCAGCAGAGTCTCATGCCACACACGGTCAAAAGCCTCAGAAATATCAAACGCAACAGCTCTTAACTCTCCATGTTTCTCGATTGCCCTTTTTGGGAATAGGCTGAATGCGAGCAATCTTCCAACCAGAAGAAAAACCCTCTTTCTTGTAATACAAGTTGAAAAGTCTGCAAAATACTGGTGCAAGTTCATTTGCGCACTTTTTAAGTAGGATGACGGGCATTTCATCAGGACCAGATGCTTTGTTGATTTTGAGCAGTTTCAAAATTCGCCTGACTAGACGCTGTCGAAAAGTGATTTTCAGCAATGTGGATTCTAGGGTGGGAATAGTGGGTGATGCCTTTTCCAGGATTTGCTTTTTCTATGGCTGTTGTTGAAATTGAATCATCCACTTGTGTTAGTGGTGGAATTGTGGATTTTGTAAAGATACAGCTTTAGCTACCGACCAGAAGGATCTAGACCCGTTGGGATTAGCAAGCAGTTCATGGATTTTCATCAAGTATCAGTCAATTATGTCATGAAATTATTGAATATTAGTGATTGTCACTAATATGCTGCTAGATGAATATCCATCTAGCAGTTAGCAAAATTTGACATTAACATTATGTAATGACAGAACCACGTTTCAACTTTCTTTTACTTGCAGTCAATAAATTATTTATTGGGAGTAGTGTGCACATTCATAGTGGTACGTAAACTTTAACAGCATTAAATAGTTCGTGGAAATGGTTTTTTATTCAGCTGCAGCGAATACTACGATTTTAAAGTAATTAGGTAAAAATAATTAGCAGACATCAAAATAAGTACTATCAAGTGAACACGTTTACTTAAAACGTATTTCTCGGAGTACAGAAATCTTCGAAAACTCAGTTTTCCACTGCCCAGTAAGTGTTCTCATAAGTTTTAACACGAATCATATTGTTCAGTCATTATATAACTAACTTCCTTTTTGATTCCAACACAAAATTGACAAAAAACATCCCACAATGAAAAAATCAATTGAATAAATAAATAACATTCCTCCAATGACATCTCAGAACTACGCTTACATCGGGTACCTCCTTGTCCAATGTCGACTCCATTTCGTAACCCCAACTATAAACTAACAATAAGGCACCCTATTACTTCAAAAGTTTTTCAGGTACTTTTTCGGAGAACGCTATACTTATGGAGCTCAATCATCAAAAAGAGGCCTGGGAACGGAGAAACTATATCCAGAAAATTCTGTAGATCAGATTCCTAAATGGATAATCAATGGCATAATAAATCCTTTAGTAGCAGCTGAAATTATTCCAGAAAATTTTGTGAATAGCGTTGTTATTAATGATTATATGCCTGGAGGTTGTATTGTCTCGCACATTGATCCACCACAAATATTTGATAGACCAATAGTTTCTTTGAATCTTTTCAGTGACAGCGCCCTATGCTTTGGTTGTAAATTCAAATATAAGCCGTTGAGGTGTTCACAACCTCTGATGAAACTGAATATGCCGAGAGGAATTACTACGTCCCTGAGGTGAGTTTCAGTTATATTGACAGACCGTTTTTTTAACTGATCCCACCATTGCAATTTCGAAAATTGTAAGATTTAAAAAAGTTGCTTCTTTGGAGTGACGATGGCAATCTTTCTTCAGATCGTTAGTAACAAGACCGTTTTGAGATATTTCCAACAAACTCGAATGGCCGGATTCTGTTTGTTAGCTCTTCGGCCTTCATTTCAAATGATATTTGGATGAGGACAGAGTGCCTGTATTCTATTTTAATACTTTTTGAAATGGAGACGTTGAAGCCAACAGACGAAATCGGACAATTTAAGTTTTTCGCGAATATTTCCATTCGATAGTAGCGATCTGAAAACAACCTGGTAAGTCTTGCCACTTCCGAGATAGCAATAGTGAGATCAGCTAAAAAACTACCCTTAGGTATATGAGATCTTGTAGTAGTTGTGTTTTGTTGACATCCAGAATGAGTCATTTTCTCCAAAAGTTATACACGCTCTCTGCTCTAGGTAATTTGATGAAGCAGAGAGATCGAATAACTTTTAGCGGGAATGGCACATCTGGAATAAGATATGTTCCAAAGTAACCACAATTATGATTTGGTGCTTTTAAATCACCACTATTGTGGTGCACTATATTGTGGTACTATTGAAAACCCGTTTTCCTAAAAACTATTGAAACATAATCATAATACTAATCGATGATTTTGTTGTGCTGAAAGTGACAATTGGCAGATGACGGGTTTGTATTTATAATATTTGAACTGGTGATTGTTGAAAGGTACTTTGGTCTCTTTTGTGTTGTTTCGAGAGAAACAGAAGAATATTTCTTCTAATTGGAGAGTAAACAATTTTTTTATATTTTGAATACCTACCTAAATAAGTAGAATTATATGATTTTCACAAAATTATTTTTTTCTGGAAAAAAATCAGTTTTAATCAATTTCATTGACTAGGGTATTTTTCAAAAGAACAAAGTTCCGGTCATCAACAATTATGTTATTTATGTTTGATGAAAAAAATTATGTACATAAGAAAACCAAAAAAACCAAGTAAAAACTTGATAAACCCTGAGAATAACATTATTAAATGTCGACTTGTTTCCGTTTATCAAACTCATTCTACTCGTTACTCGTTTCATTTGTCATGGCCCAATGAACCAGTCACTTTTTTCATTCATTTCAAAAATATAGGTGTAAAAAGGCACCTATAATGGGGAATTTTGGGTCTATCCACAAATCATGCGAGAAATTACGACGAAACCTCAGCCTGGTTCGTATACGTGATAGGTCCCTGAGGTCCCTTTTTACATCAAAATGTACATCTACTCTTAGAGAACACAAAACTGTTCCTGACTCAAAATTTAAAAAAATACTCAAGTTCCTTTCTACAATCATCTATTACTCCGTTTGTATTGAATCTACAGACACCATAAACCATTCTTTTCGTTATCTTGTAAGCTACATTTTTCACTAAGAATAATTGTTTTCATAAAATACGTACTTTTTGAAATGTTTCCAAAAAGCCGTCTGAAAACGTAGGTTTATTGGTGAAAAAGTTACACTTTCACTCGCGAATAAGTTGAAAAATGTTGACATTCAGGATAAATTTTTTAGAACAGAAGTTCTCTTACTTACTTTACATGAAATATTTTTCACTACCGAGAAGAGGGGACATCCACCCCCAGGATAAAGCAACCCGGTAAAGGGTCAACTTTGAACTAAACGCCAATTTTGGCAAAATTATTCGGAAAAAAAGTCATTATCTGGACTAAGGCTGATTTATATTTTCAGCGGGTTCGCAGCTAACGGGATAACACACTGTGTGAGGCCTGAAGACGTTACCCAAAGAAGGGCAGTTATAATGCTACGAAGAGTTCATCCTTCTGCACCTAGATTATTACCAATGGAAAGTTATGTTGGTTTGAAACGTATTCACAACAATAATGTGAATATCAATGGAAGTAGTGTCATCATGTCGGCTGAATATTTCAGAAAGTGTTATCTAACTTTGCAAAAATATTGGAGATGCCATAACAAATTTGGAAGAATTTTCAAAAGGTGTGATAGACGAAAGCTGAGTTTCCGCAACACACGATATTATGCTGTTGGGTCTTATATAATAAACTGAATTATATTTTCTTCAAGTATATTTTCTGTTGATATAAAGATTCACATTCAAATTGTGCTGTATTATTTGTCAGGAAAGATGAAAGATATAAGTAATAATAGTTTTATAACCCACAGACAATTTTTTCGTAGTAGCATCATAATTATTTATAGCCTTCTGTACTACATTTTCTAAAATTGAGTGACTGGCCCAAAACTGGTGTTAACGAGAATACAATCAGCATCTGAAGCGAAGGCTTGTTCTAGGACATTTTTCAGTAATGAATCCTGTTTGAGATTGGGATCGTACGTTGATTGTTGGGACCTTTCCCTGCACTCAGTGTCACGGAGATTTCTTATAAAATTGACTCGAAGAAAAATGGATAGTGTTATAACGATTTTGGTGTAAGAAAGGTGAATAGGTACGTACCTATAATAATAATTAACTCTGCGAAATTTTGTTTGGTTTGTTTTATCATTGATTTTTGGATGAATGTATATGAAATTGAAATATTTATTCATCATCATATCAAAAAAAAAGAAAAGACAAAAAACCGAACATGTAAAAATAAGAAACGAAAATGCCATTGTTGAGTATTTGTTTTTACTAATAATTTTTTGATCACAGATGGCGCCACTACTCTCGTTTCATAAGAAAAACTTTTGACATTTTGCTGAGGTAATGTTGAAAAATTCGTGAATGAATCTTTCATCAATTTTCATACCATAAGATGAAAGTATTCAAATTATGATCACTAATTGGTCGGGAGTTACCCAAAAAAGTCATGTGTAATTCAACATATGTCAAAATATGTGTTATTGAGGCCTTCTTATTAAATCAGAGTATGTCTGCTCAAAAAATTCCAATCAAATGGGTAGGTTAGGTCGAAAGTGAGTGGGTCTATTCGACCCCCATCGCAACCCGCAAGGGTTTATTGTGGCTGACACCTACTCACACTCGACCAAATAAACCAAGCTTCTCAACGAAGCCGATAAGTTTGTATGGTTAGTGTCTCTCAAGTTAAATGGTAAGAGTACGGTTCTGCCAAACTCTGAAAACCTGATGCAGTACCCAGCGGGACAGGCACAAAGTATGTGCTCTGCTGTTTCATCATTTTCCAAACAGAGGCGACACACACAGTGTGTGTCGCCTCTGTTTGGAAAAGACAGAAGAAGACAGTGTGTGTGACACACACACACTGTCTTCCGACAGTCAGAGTTTCTGGATATGGTGATGATTCAAATTACAATGATCTGTGAGAAGGCCTGTTAGACATTGTAGTTCATCCCTACTGTAGTCCGAAAACTGTTTGGTATTCGAAGGGTGAATAAACGCCTTGGTGTGGGCCAACCCTCGAAGATTCTGCCAGAAGTCCATAAATCTTCTTGTCATCCAGGGGTTCAATGTTTGGCGTGAAGTGATGCCAATGACAGGTTCTGGTCCGATGAAGCTGCTTGCAGCACGCTCGTTTGCAAGGGAATCAGCAGCCTCATTGCCTTCCAGCCCAGTATGGCCAGGAATCCAGACCAGACAATCTGTTAAATCTTCCTACACGGGAGAGTAGTTTTTGGCAAGTTGCTACCAATTTAGACGTTGCTCCGTAGGAGCTAAGACCTTCCAACGCCGCTTGACTGTCCGATAATATTTTTATTGACTTGTGTGAGGTTGGATTTTTCCAATCTCTCTGCACACAATTCAATAGCGTAAATTTCCGCTTGAAATACAGTCGCATAGGTACTTAGGCAAGTTGATATCTCTGTAATGAGTCTGTTAGTTGATACTATGTTAGTTAATTTGGCTAAAACTCTGGTTCTCTATTGATAGTTTGTGAAACTTATATATCTCTCTTATATAAAAAAGACAGGCAAAATACATGAGTTTTTAAGCTGTTAGAGACTCTAGAAAACACAAAAATTGGAGCCCATAGTCTGGGGCATCAGCTACTATTTTATATTTCATAGTTTGTAACACTGAGCGAGAGCTCAAAAAATTTGAGTATAACGCAAGTGAGTGTCAGGTCTATTAACCACAAACATTTTTGTAAGACACTTCTTCTATAATTCGCAAACTGAACTTTCTTTTCCTATTGTTTATAGATAGACATTCAACATTCATCATTTTGGTGACTTTCAGCCAGGGCAAAGCCTTGGAAAATATTTGAAATCTTGAGGTGAGAGTTCAAATGACATATTACACAAGTATACTGCTGAAGCCCAATACCAATTACATACTGGATAATGCCATTACATCCCACAACAATTATTATCCTTATTAGAATTTTTGTTAATGACAATACTTCTCCCAACCCTGTTAGTGTCATGAAGAGATGCACCATGAAAATGGTTCATCAGAAGTGTTTCAGTTGGACGTAAAAGTGATTAATGTAACAGTCAATAGCAAATCCTGAAAAGAAGGGTCGATTGTTATGCTATGAATAGACAAAAAAACTTCAGCTGATCTGAAAATGTACATAGGTGGTATTATAGGAACATATCGGAAGATAACATTCTAAAAAAAGTCTTTCATTATTTTTTACAAACATTTCCCCCCAATATTATGTATCCATTATTTAAAAAACTTAATGATAAAAATGAAAATTTAAATTACATATAACATAGCCAAATTCAGTAATTCATATCCAAATTCATACAGTATACAATAGTAAAATTGCCATCTCACATTTTTTGGGTAAATGAAAATGTGCATTTATTGGAAATACTTTTAATTGTTTAAAGTGTTGAAGTAACAAGAATATTTCGTTAGTTGGAGTAGATTAAATGATATGAACATTTTCACACAAAAATTAAATTATTAGAGAAATATGAATACATGCCAAATTATTAGTTCCCTATATACTTATGAACTACATACCATAAAGAAGGAAACTTGAAATGCTGCAAGACTGAAGACATGAGGTAGAAGACTAATTTTAAAAGTTGAGGTATGAAAAACAGTATTTTAGATAGTTTGCTATAACGTCCCTTAGACTAGATTTGCCTAAAAATTTCAGTTTTACTTTTCATAATGAATAACAGCTTTGTAATTCCATGAATTGAAAGTATTAAATATTCATATTGCCACTTTTCTGGACTCAATTTTGATTGTGTATAGATTGCCTAATTCCTGTGATCAAGTGGCACTGTAATAATTCTGAGCAGATTCCTGTTCTTTTGAAGCAGTTCTCCTGTTCTTTTCTCTGACAGTGCCTACATGAAGTTTTTGCCGTGTGTATTGATTTGAGTTGGAGTACATTGGAGTACATACGGTTTTTTCTGCCGTTTTGGAGTTTCTAACTTGTCTATTATTGCGTTTTCTCCTATTTCCTTCATGACACCCATTACAATAATATCGTTCCCTGTACTATTTTTGGGTATTTATCATATTCTTCTGGACATACTTTAGGTTGTCCATAAATTCTTCGCCTGTTATGACCCAGTGCCTCACATTTACAGAAAACATAAGTTCTTTCTGTTTCTTCGATCCATTTCCTACAACTAAGGTCTTCGTTATACAGTACTACTTTGTTCAGATGTCCTCTCAATGGACAGTGTCCAGTAAGTTGCCCTGGTATTATTATGAGTGGATTCCTGCCTTATTGAAACAGTTATTTTCTCAAATGATTCCTTTATAAAAGTTTTCCATGTGTCCCAAGTATACATTTCCAGCAGTACTCGTCATGTTTCTCATAGATCCACTTTCCAAGGTCTATATATGGAGTTGACCTTCTGGGTTGGCCTGTCTGTGAAAATACTGGTCCTCTTATAATTCGTTGAGGCCCCAAATTGATGAGTCTTGCCATTGCATGATTGCATAAACTTCAGCTTGGAAGATTGATGTGTATTAACGGAGCAAATAACTGAAATTAAAATATTCCTCGCAGAGTGTAAATTCTATCTCCCTTCCCACGTTCAGATTTCAATCTGTTTGTATATCTATCAAGTGTTTTTGATGAGCATGTTATCGCATTATATAACTTTAACTGCAGAATTTATGTCGTATCATGTGGTTCTAGAACATGTTTGTTGTTTGTTCCTCAATATATTCCGACATTTCTGTTTTGTCTGATCCCTTGTAACTGGGTGAATTATTCAGTCAGAATTGGCCCACATACGTTCAACTATCAATATTAACAGGCAAAACGCATGTTTCCTGAAATTGCCAAATTTTCAGGAGATGCTGAATACGTTTTGTAGTTCCCCCGTCATATTAAAAAAAAATTGTGGAATAACACGATCTTTCCTACTGGAGCTTGAGACTCCTTCCTAAAAATGTAAATATTGATCAAATGCATATAACAATAACTGTATAAAGGAAATACTCAGGCACAAATTTCTCAGAGGACGATTTAAGTATTCTTTTTCTGGTAACCTCTATTCATTCTTGAAACAAGTATCCAGAACATTAAAAAATCACCATGTTCCCATGTCATGATTTATGAAAAATTTCAGTCTCTCCATTCAAAAGCTTATCTAATAAAGGATCAATTTTGTGAATAATGCAATCAAAATGTACAAAAAACTACCATCAGCCATAAAAACACAGTAATCAATGATTTTGGAAAATTGCTGAAAATTCACTTGGTTTCAAAGGAATATTATAGCTTAGACGAGTTTATGGTGATGTCAGATGACAATAAACACAAATATCGCTCACAGACTCACCAAAGTTTCACTTTTTTGAGTTAATTTGGAATGAACTAGAATATCTAGCATGTTGATATTTTTTTCAAATTAATTGTAACTGCTGATTTGTTGAGTGAAATATTCTATTGTGAACAAACTTCTTCATTAATCCTACTAATAAATAATGATCAAATAGGTATTTAAAAAACTACTATAATAAACTGGGTTTTCTCTTTATTTTAATAAAAAAATCCAAAAAATTATAAGAATGAAATGTGTCAATTGTGAAATTATATGATATAAATATTTCCTGAAAAATAACAATTATAACTAGTACTAATTAACAAATTCATGAAACAACTTTGGATCTTGATACTAGAGCAAAATAGGCAATAACAAGGGATAGAATTGTAGCAATGAATTCAGACTTTAACCATGGGCCATTAAATGCTCCTGGATGGTTCACAACAACAGTGAACAGAGCAGGTACGGCTGAAACATCTTCTTTTGCTCGAATTGCTTTCCGGTATGCAGTGTAACCATCTTCATTAAATAGTCGCAACAAGCGTTCACCTTTTCGTGCTGTTTTGGGTTCTTCAGTCCAGCTCACCTGAAACAATTAAACGATTTAAAAAAAAAGTATTTTATTGTTTGCCTTCTGTGATCCAGCCTCCACATAATACATGACGAACTGTCTCGATAATTTTATTGCATTGCCTGCAGCTCACATCTCAGTTATAAAGCCCTATCTTATTCAGGTGCTCTCTTAATGGACAGTGTCCAGTGAGTAGCCCTGTGATTGTTTTGAGCCGATCCCTACTCTGTTGAAGCAGTTTTTCAGTTCTCTTCTCGAACGGTCCCTTCATAAAAGTTGTTTCATGTATGTTCCCGGGTATGTCTTGCTAGTACTCTTTATACACCCAGTTTCCAATCTGATTTCATACCAAAGATGTTGGTACCTCCACAGCTGATTTAGGACCTATACTGGAGTTGATGATCCGTGTTTGGCACACTCATCAACTTTCATTGCCTTCTATACCTGAGTGTCGTGGTACCAGGTATATAGTCAATCCATTCCTCTTCGCCAGTTTCCTCAGTTCTTCATGGCGTTTCTTAACAAAAAGTATCGGTGTCACTTTTGGGTTCATCAAAGCCCCAAGTACAGCCTGACTGTCTGTGAAAATATTGCTGTGCTCATTTCGTTGAAGCCTCAAATTAATGTTCCTTGCACATTGCAAAATTGCACTTCAAACCAGAAGACTGATTTCTACTGACAAAGTGAGTAACTGAAATGAAGATTTCTCCCCGCACACAAAAGTCCAGCTTCCGTGCCATGTCTGGTTTTCGACCCTTTTGTATTCCAGGTATTGACCCCTATTTTTCTCCACTCTTCGATATTTAAGAGTTTTTAACAAGAAAAACTTTATTTTCTTTCAATACTACAGACAGTTCATTATATAATTTCAGCTCAAGATAGGAAGGTGAGTGGGCCGTTAGGTTGTATACATATATCTGAAAACCAGAGCCCAAACTCAAATCATTTATGATTCAACACAACGCTGTTTCAATCCACCATAGGTGTCATCAGTGGTGTTAGGCTCAATCACAAATGCATTGCTGAAGGGCAAGCCTGAGTATGTGAATGCAATGACACCTCCCCTTACGAAGCAGCCATCTATGGGATCGACGGAGAACTCTGTCCTAGTAAGGGGAGATGTCATCGTCTTCACATATTGAAAAAATGAAAAATAAATCTTTGTTTTTCATGATGATCTCCTACGTAGTAACAGCTACATCCATCAATTTATTGTCTTCACATGTATTTATATGATTTAATTTAAATATTACCATACTTGTAATTCAGAATTTCGTAAGAAATTAATATGGACAAAATATTCTTTGATTGACACATGATACAATTCGCACAATCTTTTTTGAGCAATGACTACATTCAAGACTAGTGTACAACAACAGCAAAAGCGTATTCCATATTTGTACAATAGCAGCTCTGCACTGCTGTATGCTTTAAGGCTACCATGTAGATTTATTTGTAAATGAAGAGTATCTGAATTATTGTTTTACTACACAAAAATAATTAACATGCCTCTACTTTTAAAAAACCCTAAGATAAACATAGCAAACCTCATATTGCCAAATTTGCATTTGAGTGATCCATCTTTTACTATGAACCAAAATGTAGGTTGGCGTTTGGAAAAAAAAAAGTTGCTATTGAATTCTTGATGATAGAGGCAACTAGCGGCTTTATCTTCATATTCCGTAATAGACCTTTTGATCTAGTTGGCAATTATTGTTTGACCATATTTCATTTGAAATACCAATGCTATGCAAATACCTCATTTCACTACATCAAGTAATGTCATAAAATTTGTAGCAGGTCAAAAAAAAGAATCACGCAGTCAATTGAAAATTGAACAGTTCAAAAATATGTATAGTTAAACAAAAAAAGAGGTGAATGAAATAGAAGAAACAGTAAAATATATGCGTATAGAGGCAGGCAGATAATTCTAGGAAATTGGCATGTTAAAATTCTTCAAGGGATTAGAAATAGTATTAGATGAGGTATTGCATCATTTTCTTTTTGAATTTATTCTAAGGTTTATCACTTGCTGAGGAAGTATGTTTTTACAGACCGAACTTCAATGTATTTTTTTTGAGATACAGAAAGTTTGAAGTGGGGTGTTTCAATTTTCATGGTACCTCTAGTATTGTAGTTGTGAATATCACTCTGAATCCTGAGGGTATTAGATTTGTAGCTGACTTGTAACACATTGAAAATTAACAGAGTTGGCAGGGGCATTATACAATGTGCAATAAATAGAGGTTTGAAATATTCTCCAGAAGATGCATTAGTCAATATTCCAAGAGCTATCTGAAAATGCTGAAAAAGTGGGGGAATTTTCTCAGAATAACTCCATAGGTAGTTTACTTTAGAATGACATAAGGAAAAATTGAATTTTCATTGTTGATGCATTGATAATGGAAATATATTGTCTGTGAAAGACATTGTGAAACACCCTGTATATTTTATACATGAATGAATACCATATGGATGCAAATATTACATTAACAACAAACATTCATACAATTAAATATATTTCAATATTATTGAGTGAAAGGTAGAGCTGGAACTTCTGTGTAGAATAAATCCATAACAAGCACTGTCCCCAAACAGAAGAACTGCATCACTCTTGTCGATGCAGTTTCACCAATTTCACCAGCCAAAGTTCAGCGGATGAAGTATACTTTATCTCCAGAAGACGCGTGTTTTGGAATAATTGAATAATACAAATGACTTGATAATAATGAGCCCATGATGTTCCATTTCTGGACCCTTTTGATATTGAATACTTACTTGGTACTGATTTGATCCTACAATGGAAACTGGTGATATGTTTCCATCCAATTCTGAATATAAATTTCCAACCACGCCAGAGCTGCATTTCACAGTAAATTCAGAAATATAAGCAATATTGGAGACTATTGTGGCATCTAGAGTTGTGAATGATGTTGAAGTTACCTCTGGGTTGGAACAACTTGAACATAAACCAGCAAAAAAACTTATCAAATAAGTAATTAACAAATAAAAGTGTGGCATTGTTGTTGTTTATACAAGGAGCTAACTGATAAATAGATTTTTCTCTCCAAAAAGATCTGTATGGTTAATGATTGGATGAACTACAACTACACTACTCTAGCAATGTAAACGTAACTAATGACAATCGACAACATGCCAAAAATCTTAAAACCACTTTCAGTTCCAAATACCACATGTAACGCCTGTTTAAAAAAGTTACAACACGGCAAACGTCAGCATTATAAATCGACATGAAACATGCCACGTTCATAATATGTACACCGTGTCACAGCATAGACCGTGTACTTACTGTCTTACTGAGATGTGTTCTAAAATTGACCACTACTGACCAAGAAAGTTCTTTTTACAGTTTGCTGAGCTTGGTATTTTACTCATCTGTGGTTTGGTCCTATCAGCAGTTGACATCATAAAAATTGTATTTTTGATAGAATTTGAGACATCGTAAGAACCATAGTTTCGATAATAATTATTAAGACGTGGCCGCGATTATATCCAGAAACACAACCGCTGTAAAAATTGCTTTCAATTGTACATCAAGGTCGATAAAAACAAATCCCGAAAAAGATGCAGATATACGGTAGTTTATTGAAAACCCAAATTACTTTGGAAACTTTTCAATTGACTGACAATTGCGTAGCAACATCTCAAAAGATGTCTGCTCGCAGGCAAATCAACTTCAAATCACCTTCAAGAATGAATTTTGAGTCGATGCATGAGAATCTCGCAAATGACATGAGTTACAGAGAAGGTTAAATAGAAGCGAAGTTTCGTATTATAGAGCCTATTATTACGATGTTTGAAATTTTGAGACAGGTCAATTCAGTTGTTAAGATAATGTTGAGCCGCGTTTTTGAGAATTCATAGAATATATGTTTTGGAACCGTTTCTATTTGGAAAATATGGATTTATTGGATCAATTTCAGCACAGTCTTGTCCATATTCTCAAATTGAGATGTAATAAATGTTATTTCCATAACAACATAGTAGGTAGACATACTGAACATTACTGGTATGTAGAAAATCTACAATGGAATAACAGGAAAGACACTTCCAAGAAACCTGAGATACAAATCATACTTGGAGATTGTGAAGCATACCTTACCGTTTACCTGACTGGAGAACCATGTGGTGACAGCACGATTGTGCTGTGGGATCTAGAACCTTATCATACTCAACCTAATAATAAACACCTGTCCTTTCTATTCTTGAATAAAATTGTATAGATTTCCCGAGACAAAATTCCAAAATTCCTAATCGGTTATGAAATCAAGACAAGAACGTCTCACGAAATACTTTTTTTCGACTTACATCAAACGCTGAAACTGACAACATTTCTGGTGGATACATAAACGAAGTCTTTCTATTTTATCAATATGAGTAACAGTAAGATCTCCTCCGGAAGTTATGCAGTTAGAATGGTTTCACAATCGCAAATATTGTTTACCATGCTCTTATGGAATCTCAACTACGTTATGGAATACCTTTTTGGGGAGCATGAAACTCATCCCTTCTCTCTTCTGTATTGATATTACAGAAGATATCACTAAGGCGGTGAAGAACCTACTTGTTGATTAATAGGGTCTATCACTTCATACATGGTGGTGTTTTATCTATACATTTTTAGAACTTTTTTTTATATTTACATTTATACATTTTTGGGACTTTTTTTATATCTACATTGATACTTTTTCAGAACTTTTTCTATATCTACATTGCATTTCTTGGACTTTGGCAATAAGATGCAAATCTTTGGACAATAAAGTATATTTTTTGATTTGATTTGATGTCAAGTCATTTCTCTCCTCATTATTCTAGAAAATTCGTAAATAACCAAATTTCTTGAGCTGTTTACATTTTCAAACCCATTTCGAATGACACAATTTTTCACGGAGTACCCCAGAGGAAGTGGGATGAGGTCCGAAGATCTTGTCGGTCACCGAACTACTCCATTATTTTCTATCGACTTAGGAAATCGTTAGGAAATCATTCATTAAAAAATCGCATATCATCATTCCATTATGAAATGATACTCCACCATGGTGAAACGACATGTTTTGAATTTGTACCAAAGGAATATTTTTCTGATATTTCATGGAGGTACGTTCCAAAAACGTTCCCTGATTAAATTGTGATCATAGATGAGCGGGCCCAGCAATTGGTTGCGTAAATATGGTTTCGTCCGTTCAAATATTTATAAAATTTGGTTTTCTCTTCGATTCTGATCAATAATCATCGACATCACACCAGTGGGGGCAGTATACCTCTAAGCACTCCAACTTGTCAACATTGAATACGCTGATTTTTGTAGATAGGGAAATTTACAGTTCTGAAAAAGAAAGCTGAGCAATCATCAATGACCTCAAGGGAAAAAAGAATACTGCTCCTTCGAAAACTGACCTAAAATCTGATTGTATTAACAAATATTACTGCACTGTAGCACACAATTCATCCAAAGATATAAAATCCAATATTAGTCTTTTGGTTTTTCTTAAGGACAACTCAGTTTCAGAGACGTTTTTCTTCATGCCTACAGATGTTATGGAAATTGGAAAACTTCTTAAGGAAATTAAAAATACAAACTCAGCTGGTTGGGATGACATGAGCATGAAAATATTTACCAAGTTGCCCAACTCCGCTATCACATCTTTGGTGGAAGCTATAAACACAACCTTCATAACGGGTGTATTCCCGGCATATTTGAAAACAGCCATTGTTATTCCTTTGTATAAAGGAAGAGACACAAACAATCCTGCTAACTTCAGGCCTATTTCTATGCTACCTACCCTTGCTAAAATCATAGAAAATAGCGTTAAACAAAGAATTATGATGTTTGTGAGTAGCAGTGTAGTAGCAGTCAGTTTGGGTTTCAGAGTTTGAAAAACACGGAAGATGCCATGTTTCATCTAGTGGAAAACGTTTTTTTTGCGATCTTTCAAAAGCTTTCGATAGCGTGGATCATGAAATTTTGCTGCAAAAACTAGAAGTGTATGGCTTCAGAGATATATTTTTGAAATGGTTCAGATCATACATGTAATATCCCATCCCCAGACAGTTACTTGTGGTGTTCTACAAGAATCGGATCTAGCCCCAATTCTCTTCTTGTTATATATTAACGACCCAGCCCGCATTAATATAGCTACAAAATAACCCATAAGTCTGAAATCACCAAATGTTCAAGTACTACTTTCATTTTGTATATCTTATATTTCTTAAAATAATAACACTTAGTCAATGAGATTTTATCTTCGACAATATAGTACATTTTAATTTCATTTCATTTGATCACAACAGAGAATGGTTGTGCTGATAACGATCGCCCTCAAAGATGGCACGTGGAAGTCGTGGTCGAAGTGAAGCCCAAAGGTGTAAGCTCAAAATAAAGTGAAATATAAATTGAAGTTATGTTTGAGTAAATATCGAAGTGAAATAAAAGAGGACTGGCGGCCCCCTACGCCAGTAACCAGGCTGGATGTCAATGGATTTGACGAGGTCGTCAGTTCTACAAAATATATGAACATATGCATTTATGTTAGTTTGATCCAAAGGCCTTCCGAGAAGGAGGCGACCAGTAGAAAATTAAGTGTTTTTGTTAAATTAAGAAGTGAATGAAAAAAAATGGATGGCAGCATTGCTTCAAGCAAGACAGCGGCGCCCTTGGACGGTTAATATCAAGTGAAATAACATTACAATACTGAGCTCAGATACTGAGGTAATTAATATCAAACTTTTTGTTGAGTCGAAATTCAGGTTAAAAAAGCAAAGCCATCTCAGAAACAATAATTTTTCAATTCAGAAAATTTTAGTTGAATCATAATCCATTTCGTGGCCTTCTTTGAAGACATGTTTATTAAAAGCACATTATTTAGGATATAATCTACTATCACTTTTATTTGATACAAGTAGTCTAGAAGTTTGACAAATATATTCACTATTACTGTTATACATTTTGATTGTGAGTTGGATGGAGTTCAATCTTTGAGTTCTGAAAATAATTCACTAATAGTTATTACTAGAGTTCAACAAGTTATTTTAACATGTAAATTCTCAAAAATTCTACTCAGCTCAAGTGTCACATCGCTAGTAAAAAAAAGTGATGAAAATAATATGGGAACTTGAGGTAGATTAGTCTCATTTGTCTCTACATCGGAATTTAGGAAATCATAAAATCATAAAAATTATCGAATTGGAGGTTAGGCAGAACATGCGAATAAGGTGTTACATTCAACTGAATGTATTCATTCGGTCGGTAGCCAAGCGGTTCGGCGTGGGTGCTTTGTTCACTCACTAGAATTGACTGCCGCGTTGGTCGGTGGTTCAAGCCCTAGTCTGAACGATCGATCTTCACTTGCTATCGTCCAACCCGTGTCAGGAATCACACGTTAAAAAGTAAGACCTCGTTAATCCTNAACATAATTACTTTACTTAAGCTATTGTTCTTATCATTCTGTACTATTTTATTGGTCATTTTATCACATACAAAATATTATATTTTGCGTTCAACGGTCAATAACCATTGTCGCTGAACTACTGTAAATATTAGCCTGATCGTGAGCACTATTTTATTATTCAAACTTTTTTAAATAATTTTTTAACATTGATGTTATATTACTTCTTATAATGAATTTCAATTTACCTCATATGTACTAATTTTTATTTTTTATTATTTACTGATATGGCTATATCATGTACAAGGAACACCCCTTCGTGCTCCTTCTGTGATGCCGTTGTTTATTTACTGCTTTTTATATTTGAGAATTATGTATACCTTTTATCATACATTTATCATACATTATTATTAATTATGAAGTTAAAGCAAACTATATTTAACGATCCCTCGACTCTATGCCAATATACTTCACAACTATTCATGAATGACTTTTCGACTTTTCTAAAGATAGTATACGTGCTGAAACGCTACAAAACTGTCTCCAAAAGTTAGTTTTACAAAAAGATATCTGAAACTCCACCAATTTTTTCAAGTTGATAAATGACATGTAAAAAATATGTCTGATCCTAACGTTGATCTCGGCCACAGAACTATAACTGTAAGTTATGGTACTATAACTGTAAGTTATGGTTCTGTGATCTCGACGCTGACCATCGACATAACCTTAAACCGGTTATGTCGATGGCGCTCGTTGGATGGCGCTGACCGATCACTTTTTTTTCTCGCTCTCATAAATACCGAACACTGAACAGTAGTTATTGAAATGACATATCTGCATTACCGAACGGAGCGACCTAATCGAGCCAGAGTTGCCAACCGTAGCGGAATCCCGCTACTGTAGCGGATTTTACTTGACAGTAGCGGCGTAGCGAATTTGAACATAAAGTAGCGGAATTGTCTATAATCAATATTGAAAAAAAATATGAAAGAAGAAGAGGCAGTGGACAGCACTCTCCTTTTTCTTTTCAATTCAATGGCCTCAGCAAGTAAGGCTATCCGCAGACAACACTCGAAGCTGACAGCTAATACGTTATAGTCTTAGTAGTGAGGCCATTACATGATGAATAAGAAGAATATTTTTGAATATTTTCATTCATATCATAAACCGTATAACCTCCATACCTGTTTCGAGTATTATAACTTATATGAAACAAATTACAGTAGAAATAGAAGATAGTTCATCTGATTATGACTCGAGCGAAAGAGCTATCGCAGTTGGAATTGACGGGAATGAGATATGTTCAAAAAAATACAAAAAGTCTCGAAAACAAACTTTTTATTAACATTGTTTGTCTGATTCCAACTTGAAAGGATGGATTAGTCGTGTCGCGAATGATCGTTCAAGAGCTCAGTGTGACTATACGTACGTGAACAGATTGATTTTTATTTTTACTTTTCAAAATCATTTGTTCAAGCTAAGAAATATTTGGTCGGACGACAACTTTCAAAAATTAACTGCTGTTAACTTAGAAAATTAGGTACCATCTACTGAGTTGAAAATTATCATGATCCTGATTACTTACATTAGTGACAGCAGTTTGGTGGTATCTGAACGGTAACAAACTACAAACTGTAAGTTTTGTGGTATTCAATTTTGGATAAGGCGCATGACACACACACGCTACTAGCGTAGCGGAATATGAAGAATATGAAGTGTGGCGGAATTTTGTTTCATGTGTAGCGACTTTATAGTTCTACTAGTTGGCAACACTGAATCGAGCACATGTTTCCTGTTCCGTGCTGAGGTATTCTGTGGCTTCAAGGTAAAACTTTATGCCTTACGCTTCGCATCTTATATCTTATGTTTGTAGTTTCGTGAAAAAAAGGAAGTTGTTTGTGGTAGCAAAATAACAAATGTGAAGTTTTGTTCCTGATTTATTTCATAACGTTTGTTTCCTGTAAGACAGTACGTAAATGGAAGTATGAAAAAGGTATGAATATAACACCCATTTACTTTTGGTCATACTTTATTGTTTCAATTCATACTTTATTGTTTCAGTTCTGGAATTCTGAAAATACCAGGTCCCACTTGAACCATACCATTTAAAACATTTGTATCGCCTTTATCAGTGCCACCCAGGAAATCATGTTTGTGACTGGTGCTAATTGAGGAAAAAATAAGTTAACCTACTTTCTCAAAAGAATGGTATACATTTGTACCCTTCAGGAAGGTTAAAATATTTTTACTTTTTGATTTTTTTTGTAAAGATCATCGAATTTCGCTACCAACCAATAAATTTGGTTGGTTCAATGTTCGGTTTGTCAGTAGCCTCAGAATTATTTCAAGAATCCACTGAGAGAACTTGGCACTGTATTTCACATTTCTTGCACTCAATTTGGAATACGCTGAACCATATTAGACATCCTACCATGCCCAAAATTAGAAAGAGGCATCATTCAGAATCCAAATCTAGATCACGATCATATGATCGCAGCTATGTGCAAGATAATAAGCGAAAGAGAAACGACTCCACTGAAAGGGAACGAGATGGCAAAAGAAAAGTAGATTTGTATGATAGCCCTTCTCATAAAAGATCTGTAAGTAGCCAGAGGGCCCACAGATCTCGTCAGTATGAACGAGGTTCTAGTGCAGAAAGAAGATATAAGAGAAGTCATCGAAGGTCACCTACTTCTAAGAAGAACCGCCATCATCATGATGGTACCTCCAAAAAAAAACATTCCCGAAGATCTTATTCTTCTGAACAGCAAAGTTCCCATGCCCCTTCAGTAGAAGATGATGATGAAGGTCACCTCATTTACAAAACAGGAGATATAATACAAGATAGATATAAAATATATGGTACCCTTGGAGAGGGTACTTTTGGAAAAGTGGTTAAAGTTAGAGATTTGGAGATGGACCATTGTATGGCATTGAAAATTATCAAAAATGTAGAGAAATACAGAGAAGCTGCCAAACTAGAAATTAATGTTCTTGAAAAATTAGCAGATAAAGATCCTGATTGCATACATTTATGTGTAAAGATGCTAGATTGGTTTGATTATCATGGACATATGTGCATTGCTTTTGAAATGTTGGGACTGAGTGTTTTTGATTTTTTGAAAGAAAATAATTACCAACCTTATCCATTGGAACAAGTGCAGCACATAGGTTATCAATTATGCTTTTCTGTCAAGTTTTTGCATGATAATAAATTAACCCATACTGATCTCAAACCTGAAAATATTCTTTTTGTTGATTCTGATTATGAAGTAATTCATAATAGTAAGAAACGAAAAGAAATCAAAAGAGTGAAAAGAACTGATGTTAGGTTGATAGATTTTGGTAGTGCAACATTTGATCATGAGCACCATAGTACTATAGTATCTACTCGTCATTATAGGGCACCTGAAGTCATTTTGGAGCTAGGATGGTCGCAGCCCTGTGATGTCTGGTCAATAGGTTGTATTCTATTCGAATTGTATTTGGGTATAACACTTTTTCAAACACATGATAATAGGGAACATTTGGCGATGATGCAAAGAATTCTAGGAGAAGTGCCTGTAAAAATGGCCAGAAAAACAAAAATCAAATATTTTTACAGAGGAAAACTGGAATGGGATGAAAAAAGTTCTGCCGGTAGATATGTGAGAGATAATTGTAAACCTATAATGAGGTATAAACAGTGTGATGAGCCAGAACATAATTCATTGCTTGACTTGATTTGTAAAATGTTGAAATATGAGCCATCTGAGAGGATAACTTTGAAAGATGCTCTGCAGCATCCATTTTTTCGGAACGTTGCCCATCAACAGGTAGACGAACGTGCTGGAACGGCTGACCGAAAGGAAAAATGTATATCAGATTGAATCATCAGTTGTGCCACATGTTTTTCACTGAAATATACGGCACTGATTCTGTTTTTATACTTTATTCGAATGATTTTATTTGTTTTAAAATATATTTTAGGTTATAATTATTATGTTTCAATAATTGTTCTATCTGTGATGAAATATTCCAAGTCGCTACAGAGGCAAGTGAAAATAATTTTTCGCAAATTTCTAATCTGAAAAATTATTTGACGCGCACATTGTCAATTAAATTGGCATAATCAGGTATTGAATCACCAGATTTTTGGATTTTGGAAAAAACAATTCTCTGGATTAAGTTTCCACATTACATTATATTCCACTAGATTCCACTGCAACCTACAAATTCAGAGTCATTTATTGAAGCTTATTTTGATTAGTTGCAAATCATTAATTGTTGTAAATAATATTTCTTATAATTTCAATTATCTTCTCTAATATATTACATTCTCCTGAAATCAACATGCGGGCAATGGAACCATGTGATATAAAACGATAAGTATTCTATTATCATTTTTTTGTCGAGGAAACAATGTTTATTACTGTTGTTTAGGTTTTACCCTTCCACAGTCTGAAAAATAAAAAAAGCCTAAACAATAGAGAATCTGTAAGTGTAATACACGGCAAATTGAAAAGTTTACTCTGAAATGTCCAATTAGTTAGTAACTTGATTTTTGATAAGTTCGGACTTCCATTGTCTGATATTATATAAAATGATTTGAAATCCCTGAGAGAACTAATAAAAAGAGAAGAATTAAAAATGAATAGCTGAAAATAACAATTATATTAGGCAA